ATGCCAACCAAAGGTTGCACGAAGGCTGGGATACTGCCAGGTTGCCCAAGCTAAGCTGAAGTGGAGGGGCAGAGTTCGGGTTCGAACCACGGACCTTCTGGTCAGTAAATTCGCTCTCTAACCACTTGAAACATCTCGCTGCCTGATGCGCAAACATATTTCTACCGACTCAGTGGCGTAGAAAAACGGTGATGCATGTGAATAGTCTGCGGTCAGGTCTCAAACCACGACTCTGCAAGCTCGAAATTAATACAGAAATTACGGAACCTCTGTGCACTGCTCGCTTAGTATTTTTTTTTAGTGATAGATGGATTTCCGGGAAGGTTCAAGAGAAGGCGCAGCAAGTTCAGTTTTTAAAAACGATCCGCATATGGAATGTTTCGTTTCGTGTCTGATGGCTCGTAACTACCAAGTTCGTGTTTGCTAATAAATAACTTAAATAAATAACTTAATAAATAAAGTGCTTTTTTCGAGAAATACACTCAGTTGCAAATCAATTTGGTTTTCACGAGAGACTCAACTGAATCTCTCGTTTATGATGTTCTACAACTGAGTGTGCTGCACACAGGCTGCCTCATGTTTCAGTTGGTACGATATTCAAGATGTCGCAGTATATATTCATAAAGGAAACCACTCACAGTGCAATTTGGGTTCAAGTAGAACATAAGGTTGATGGAAACTCTTGGATGCGCCTACCTGATGAGCGCGAACTGGAAGGTCGAAACCGGTCGTAGGCTGTCGGAGAGTTTTCAGCAACCTTGCCTTGTGAGTCCTTCATGAAAAAAGAATGTGCTTTTTTTGTTTTTACTCGTATGGTTAATAGATGTGTATAACGTCAGTATAAGCATTTTCACTCAGAGTTGGCGGAAGATGGCCGCTCCCATGCCTGGCTCTTTTTTGTCATGGGTGAGGAAGTTGCCTTTGTCCATAAGAACTTCATCGTTCTGTTCGTGATTGCTGTCTGTAGGATATCGGGTCAGAAGCAATCACGCTGTGCACTGTAGCGATTCATTCAGGTTATGAGTAGTGATCTTGACGAGCTCCGCTGCCCTTACGAATCACAGAAATATTGTTTCAAGCTGTCCCATCGGAAATACTTTTGCGATTATTTTCACATAATCCCACTTTTTTTCCCGAAAAACGCACTGTGTTCCTGCAGAAATAGGCCATTTATATTTAAAAATCTGAGCTTGAGTTACAACAAAAATGCTCTAAAGACAAGATACTCACGTCTCCGTTGATCACAGCATCAGAAAGTTTGGAAGATTCCAGAGCTTTTAGCCTGATGACTCTAAAAATAAGCAGTCACCTGAGACGTGCTTCGTAGCACCCAAACTTTGCAACGACGTACTGGCTCATCCCTTCCTAGCTTTGTGATTCCGTATTTGTTTAGGCGTTCAGCTGTGTTCGATCAATAAACTGCGGTGAGTTTTTTCTAAATATGTTACATAGTTGGCAGACTAACGGTTAAACGCGAACAGAAGCGAAACCCCTAAGTATCTTTACTTGAGACTTCGTTCCTTCGACAAGACCAGTCGATGCCAAAAAGCCTATAATCAGACTCTTTTCTCCATTTTTTCAGAATCACCAGCAGTGCGGATCACACAAACCTCAGTGAGCTACTTCGCAGCACCCAAAATTTGCAACGACGTACTGACTCATCCCTCCTTAGCTTTGTGATTACGTATTTGTTTAGACGTTCAGCTGTGTTCGATCAATAAATTGCGGCGCGTTTTTTCTAAATATGTTACATAGTTGGCAGACTAACGGTTAAACGCGAACAGAAGCGAAACCCCTAAGTATCTTTACTTGAGACTTCGTTCCTTCGACAAGACCAGTCGATGCCAAAAAGCCTATAATCAGACTCTTTTCTCCATTTTTTCAGAATCACCAGCAGTGCGGATCACACAAACCTCAGTGAGCTTCAAACGCGCTTCTATCAGACCAGTGGCTGAAGACCTAATCGTTCGAGTATGAATAACTCTGATCCGGGCAGGATATAGCCTTGCTCATCCTGTGACCACAGAGACAATATCATATGGTCAAGCATTGACTCGCCCCTCAAAATGGAAGTTTCACTCGTATTGTGACATCGTTCTTCTTTGATTTTTTTTAATCACTGATAACAAATTTGATGGTTTGATATTCTTTCTGTGTGTACTTCCAGGAGTTTTCATCAAGCATGAAATAGATATACGCTGCTCCTGAGGTTTTCGGCACAAGTTATCTTACCATATCACGTGACGTGAACCCACGGGTCGTGGACAGACAACATGCGCAATTTTCACTAAATGCCCGGAAAACTCATCAGAGAATTGTCACAGAACCACAGGGGTCCCAGTCGATAACACGGATATGTGCATACATTCATGCAATTTGTATTTGATTGGTAAGTGTCTGAAAATGACGCTTGCTTAATCGCAACAATCTGAGTCAACATTGTGCATTTCTGTGCAAACATTATCGCCAGTCATGTATTCTACCCTTGGCTAACAACATATTTCAGAGAATTTCCTGTTGCCTGTGAAAATACGCTATCTTATCATCTCCCTTCCGCTATTGGACTGTTCAATTGGACTCACAGAGGTCGCTGAAGACAACTATTCCGTTAAGTACACATAACTACAAACTCCTGCGTTCGGATGGTAAACCTACAGTGTGATGACAAAAGGCGGCGTCTCGGCGTTACAATAAATACAACCTAGGTGATGGCCGGTTTTAATTTGTGGCCGAAATATCGACTGTTCTGAACTGCGTACTGCTGGAAAGTAAAACAAGAATCCACGAGTTATTTTAGTCGGGGCGCAATGAGATGATTATCATGAATTCGTTGAAAATTTGTCGCCCAATAGGCAGCGGCTGTCGATAATTGTCACTGAGTATTCAAAACTTGTACCTGTGTAATTTTCTGCGAGCTTATCGTAGCTAGAGCACGTGTATCAAATGGCTTTTATGCACAACATACTCGGATCCGCAAAACTGATTCTTCCTGCGTGCCGAATTGTGCTCGAAATTGTGAGCAGAAGCCCAAGTAAGAGAACGGGCATCACAAGAAGCTTCAAACCACCGTCAAACCTTAAGGTCAGCGGGCGGTTAAACTGACCGATTAAAACAAGCAAAAAGAGAAACCTGATACAGTATTTGTTTCGTTGCAATAGAGAAAGTGACTTTTCCTATTTCACCATACTCCTTTCCTACCAAGACTTTGGAAGAGTCCCTTCCGTTCTGCGGAAAACGGTTGACTGTTCATTCATTCACCCCACTGGATTCCAATCGCAAGTCATCTTCCGTCCTGTTAATCCCATAAAACTGGTAAGCAAGCACATCAGAATTTGGCGTTTTCTCACAGCATTTCATCTCTTTCAAGAGAAAATCAGCAAAAAAGAACATGCATTTCATAGCAGTGGAGTAGGACAATAACTTTCAAAATGTGTAAATAAGTCTTCTGAATCCTATTAAGGTGCGTCTGCGATTCTTACCATGAATTTGACGCAGAGGAACGGCATCATGTTGGCATTCAGTAGCCTCCATTCGACACGAAGCGGACCCTGAAATAAAAACATTTTGCAAGTGCAAAAATTTAAAAAATCCGAATATACCACGAAAACAAGCAGATTTTTAAACTGTACTGGTAATCAAAATCGACGTTTCATGTAGCTAGTCAAAAGAAATGCATTTTTTCGTTTGACTTACTGTTCGGAGGTCTTCTGGCACCACTGCCGTGTAATGGTATATGTATCTTTGCCCCGGTTGGATGGGACAAGGCCGATTTAGGCGGGTGCACACGCCATTAGGTGGAAACGGTATCGTCGCGGGTCCCCCATCATACGAGCCTTCAAACCTTGAGCCCCCAGGAAAAATCCTGGCTACTAAGTTTCGGAACAGGTATCGGAGAAATATGAAATAATTTATATCAGTTTTGGGAATGTGAAAAATCAAACACAGAGCGGCTACTTGTGACTAATCGTTTAAAATAGCCTCAGTAAAATATTATCAGGAAGGTCAGATCCCTGAATGTAACCTTAGAACGCCCGAAACCTACTACTTCACCAAGAACTCAACAGCAAAGCCGGTAAGCATCCAGGCCCGTCAATCATTCAATCAATTCAGCAAAAGCCGATGAGTGTCCATGCACGCCAGAGTAGCACGACCGAATGTGATCAGCGTTCGGGCATTTCATGGAGGCACTATCGATGTTGATGGGTGTTCACTAATGCCTGTCAAACAGCCTGGATCAATGTCAGAAAGTTTCTTTAAATAGCGTGGGGCCGTTGTAACTTTTGCCCTCGCAGTCGCACGCACTCACGCTCTCGCACTCGTTTGTTCGGAATACAGCGGTTGTGTTCCCTTCTGTGAGTCTTTTTTTCTCCGGCACTAGTAACTGGAGCGGGTCAGCAGCAGATACCACAGATTGACGAATTAGCAGATATAACAAATGCAACCTGGTTTAACTAGTTAGTCCGGCACATTCGAAAAAAGTCAAAAATGACGTCTGTACTAGAGCCAGTAATGTTTGTTCGTAACAGGTTCAAAACGATCCTTTAAAAGTTTAGATGTCACTTACATTCACTAGCCTAGTTATCCACACTTAAATATATCCACGCCAGATCATTTATAATAGGAAATCCAGCAAGTGTACAAGCCGAGTACTTACATCCTCTGAATAGAATACGAATGGTAACGCTTGTCCCCTTGACCAGGGTGCAAGGATCACTGTTGCACGGAGAAACGTCGACGGACGTCACGACCACGTTGATTGAACCTGGAATAAGAGTAGGAGCATGGAAAAGGCGTGAAAGATTCCTCAGCGGCATTTCGTCGGTTAAACTGTGAGATGGCTAAGCGCTTACGGCGCATTTGCGTGGATGTGAATGGTTGGTTGTGTAAGGACTGTTGTCAGCACAGAGTCTTTTGTGTAAGAACGATGAAACTCACAAAAAAATCATTGATCGACAAGTCTGATATACCAAAGGAATGTTCACAAAGTAAAAAAATGCATCATGTTGCTAATCGCGCATCTCGTATTCAAAACACCAGCGTCAGGCCCGCCTAGGTGAGTAGATTCCCGCTTAGGTAACCACTCGTCCTCAAGTCAGGGAGTACTTTTAGGCCACGGAATCAACATCCGGGGAAGGTGAACCAGTTACTTACACTGGACGTTTACCATAGATTCGCATTCTTGTGTCCAAGCAAATATCAATCTTAGAAAACCCACACTTGTAATTTTAACGAGAAAATTCCTGATTTTGTCAACAGTAATAAAATTCGAGCCCTCTGAGTAAGATGGCAATGCAAACGGCTTCAATAAGATGCAAAACTCCTTGCGCTTGGCAGAAGTCGGGCAATTCATTGGAAAGTCTACTCTTGCTAATTATTGATTAATGAAGCCGCCTATGTGGCTTAACAACATTACGTCATATCTTCTGGTATCTTACCGCAATCTCTAAAGTCGACAGCATCCCCAAAGTTTGATATATAAATGAGGATAGTGCATAAAATCCGCCTGAAGGGTTGCATTCTCCGGGCGGCAAAACCACGACTAACTAATTCTGAAACTTGTGAGCCACTTATATGGTAAATTCTGACACCGTTTCATAATGAATGCTGTTCTTTCAAGGTCGGGGATTTCACACCGTGGACCGAGGCATTAATTGCTAATCCCAATGTTAATTTCGTCTTTTTTGGAAACAGTTTGTTGCTGTGCGAATCCACTATTCCATTAACCGTCAAGAAACCCTTATTTTAATGCCTCATCAAGCCCGATGTGATACGTCGCATGACAGTGTTCAAGGTTAAACAGTTTAGATGAATGCACGATTGCCACCAAGACCGAAATTTTTACTGGTTACCAAGACAGAAACAGTGCAACCTTCCCGGACCCTGTCATTTCCTCCTAACGGTGGGTACTTCATTCCGGACAAGAACGATATTCATCCATTAAGAACGGAGTAATTCGCCAAGACCAAACGTCCATTCAAAGGATGTCCGTTTATGATATTCTCCATGCTTAAGTCGGTATTGTTGTATCGTGGGTGGCCGTCAGTTGGTTACGCCAGCACTGAGCCTGCCAGACTACGCGATAAGGAGAAGGCAGAGAACTGGGGACATGGCTGTATTGTTAGAACAAAACATACAGAGCTTCTGCGTAAATATATAGGATAAGTAAATGGCCAAATCTGGTCGTTCACTTGTTCGTTCTGTACAGCCAATGGCGGTGCTCCGGTCGTGAACACTTTCAGCCCCACTTCACTGGTCTTATGTTGCTAAGCCGTGTTTGGTGTGCTCCGCCAAAGCAGCTGCTTTCCGGACGTGTCGTACCGATGGTGACCTTGGGGATGCGTCATTCTCTGCACATGTACTTTTCCCATGTGTGGGCGCGTCCTGACAGGTATATATCTCCACGTTTGTCCCGGAGCCACGGATTTTCCGCAGGCAATGCAGGTCTTTACCCCTACGCCCGATGTTCGATAAACGGCTTCACTAAAAGCTGTCAGTTAAGGGTTTTCATACAGTTCCTTGGTTCCTTGGTCAAATTTTCCCCCAATGAGTGTATCTCCTCGTAAACTGTTTTATG